CGAGCCGGTATCTGGAAGCTTAAGAGAGGAGTTTAGCTCAGGGAAATCATCTCGTAGCTCCCACGGGTAACACGTGCACCGAGGAGGCCCGCGGCCCCCGTTCCAGCAGGTCTGAAGGGCTGTTGTGGTGGAGGGTGTGCTCGCTCAGCTGAGGGGCGCTTCCCTTGGGTCCATTCGGGACCTGCCCTTGCTGGTCCCTGCCATCTCTGCAGTTGACTGGACTGGACGTGACAGGGCTTCTATTTATTTTTAATTGACATGGACATTTGTACATTTTCATGGAACAGCACCTCGCGATGCTTTGATGCACACGTATGTGTACGATGAGCAAATCACGTAACTGTGTCTGTCTTCAGACACCCATCCCTGTTGACGATGACAGCATTCAAGATCCTCCTTCAGCTGGTTTCCAAGTGACAGGACCTTGTCTACAGTCACCCTACTGCTCAATAGCATGTCTGACTTATTCCCCTGAACCCACTGGTCAGTCTCACCCCAGTCTTCCCTGCTCACCTCTGGAGACACCCTTCTGCGCTCAGCTCCGGGAGATCAACCTCGCCAGCTTACACTTGGACTGAGATCACACGGTGCCCTCTGAGCCGGGCTGAGTTCTCCTGGCACAGTGATCTCCAGGCCCATCTTCTTGTACACGACAGGGTCGTCCTTCTGTGGCCGACTCGTGCTCCATGGGGCACATGCCCCGCCCCTTCTCTGTCCACCCTCAGCTGATGGACACTAGACCTTCTGTGAGTAGAGCTGCGGTGACCCAGGGAGAGCCGGTGCCCCTCAGCACACTGACTCCTCTCCTCTGGACGTGGACCTGGCAGTGGGATGGCTGGGTCACGTGCTAGTTCTACTGTTGGTGTTCCAGGGAATCTCCGTGTGGTTTTCCACGCTGGCTGTGCTGATTTACACTCCCACAACAGTGCAAGGGCCTCTTTCCTCCACCTGCTCGCCAGCGGTTATAGGTATAGTTCTAAATGAGAAGATGATTTCTTTTTTTTCTTTTTTTGAGGAGGTACCAGGGATTAAACTTGGACACTCCACCACTGAGCCGCATCCCCAGCCCTATTTTGTATTGTATTTAGAGACAGGATCTCACTGAGTTGCTTAGCGCCTCACTTTTGCTGAGGCTGGCCTTGAACTCGGGATTCTCCTGCCTCAGCCTCCGGGATTACAGATGTGCACCAACCGCACCAAGCGGAGATGATCTCTGAAATGATACAATGTAACATGTTTAAGTCAGAAAATGCCCAGCTGAAGGCCCTGCGTCCAGGCTAACTCCATAGTCAGGAAAAACACTCATCTTCATTCCCAAGTCTGTGCAGCCGACGTGGCGCAGGAAACCGCCTGCCCAGGAGAAGGCCACCGCGAGCGCAGGCGTTGCTGAATTAGTCATTCCCTAAAACAGCACCCGAATCCTGCCACTCTCGAGCTCCTGGGTGGCTGGCCGTTGTTCCTGGTGGACTGACCTGGCTACAGCTGCCACTCCGTGCCTGGGTCTCCTCCTGCCCTCAGGGTCGCCGTCTCCCATGTGCAGTGTCGGGAAGTGGTACTGTTCTAAGTACCGTGTTCTGAGCACTCCCGACATGTCCACTTCCCCTCCCAAGTCCTCCTGGCAAGCTGCTGCACACCTTGCTTTGGAATTAAGTAGACACGCCTTAAGCTGTCATTCAAACGCTTTCCAAGCAGCCCGGCATGGCTAGGCTGTCTCAGGAAGCCCGTGCTTCTCTACGCTGCAGCGAGGCTGCGGGCAACCATCCTTACTCCAGTCTCCATGACTGCTGCTCTGCAGGAAGGGAGGTGACAATGAGTGACATCCAGCTGACAGGCAGGGACCATCTTGCTGCATCAGAAAGTGCAGGGTTTTGTCTCCTTTCTGACTAGTTTCTATCCACATCTGTATTAAAATTAAGGAACGTGGGTTGGGGTGCTGCTCAGTGGTGGGGCGCTTGCCTGGCATGGGTGAGGCCCGGGTTCCACCCCAGTAGTGAGCACACAAACTAAAGAACACGACAGCTTGCCCCCAGCCTCAGCTGCCAGGTAGAACCGTCCTGTGAGAGCTTCAGAAGTCCCGTGCGGCTGCCCCCTCTTCGGTGACAATGGGACCATGTGTGGATGGCCCAGCAAAGCTCTCCGTGAGGGCAAGACATAGTTGGGAAGGAAAGGTGGTGGCCTGGCCACAGGCTCCAGCCATGGCTCCCAGACACGGTCGCTTCTGCTGCTCAGCCGCCCTCAGCACTTGCGGAGATGCCCCTTCTCCCTGGCTCTCTAAGTGAGTCAAGCTGATGTCAGACATTTCAGCAGCTGAACTTATTTTCTCAGATGGTCCTTTCGTGCACTGAGGTGGTCTTATCAGCCAAACTGTAAGTTCCTAGGAGACTTCTTAATGGGAAGCACAGGATAAGCTTCTGAGACTCCTTAATGAATTGCTCTTAGATAGCGCGGCCAAACACCGCGAATCCATTGTCTTCTTCAATCCCACCACCTGGCACTCTCCTCGCCTCCATGTGAGCTGCCTGATCTCACTTCCTATTCCCAAACCCTCGTCCCAGGGGGGTGGAGCCGCCACCATGCCGTCTCTGCTGCTCTGAGCCTAAGGTAGCTCTCGGCTTCTGCTCATGTTGCCCAGAATCTGCGCTTGTTAGTTTTCCCAGAATGTGCCGTGGCCAGGTCCCCAGAGAAGAAGTGATGAGTCCACGGGTTTGTTAATCTGCCTCAGCTCTGGGGGTTCAGGGAGAAGGGAAGCCAGCGGGCACGGGGGTGTTCTCCCCTCCTAGTGGGAACAGGGATCTCCAAGAGAGAAAAGGAATTTGATTTCACATATTAAAGATTTGAGCAAAAGATTGGCAGAAATCAAGTAAAAGTCTGTGCAGTGAAGTTACACCAACAGGGACTGGAACTCAACTCCTGTGTGTTGAAATCCGAAGCTTTTCCAAGGCAGGACACTCAACAGGAAGGGTTAGGGTCTCACTAATCTTCTTGTTTTGTTCTTAGAAGTGCACTTTATCTTTCCCCCCACCTCAAGCCTGACTTTCCAGAGACGGAGCCCTCTGACGGGAGGAGGGCGGCATCTCCAGATGATTTTCCAGTGCTCCTGGGAGCCGACTTGCTTCCTCCATGCTGCATGTGTGGGAATAGAGTCTTCAGGAAGTGAAACAATTCTCCCAAGATGGAGCTTGGTGGTCTGGTACAAAGAGGGTCTTTCTCCTGAAATGCACTGTCTACAATTGTGAGCCCTTCCCAGCCCCGAGTGGCTCTTTGTTGTGGGGCAGGTCACATAGTTTTCTGAGTCTGCAATACAGTCATTATCTAAGGCCAGGCTGCGGCCTTCTGGAAAAGAGACAGCTGGGAAATCTTGGTCGCTCCCCAAATACTCCTATAGCCACAGTGAGGTCTGCGGTGAGGTCCACATTCCTGGCAGGGGTGGGAGAACTCCATCTGGCCCCGTCCCTCACTGCTCCATGGGCTCAGCTGCAGAGCCTCATCTGGTTGAGCCTCTCAGGACACGGGTCTGGACCAGCATCCCAGATCCTTGCTCCAGGCCACCCATAGCACGCGGGGTGGGAGCTGTGGGAACTCCCTCCCTGCTGTCCATAACACAAGCTTCTCCAACAGACATCCCGAGATCCCGAGCTTCTTGTGAATGCGTCCCTCGTCAGCCCAGTTCTTCTAAAGATCCTGCTCTCTGTCACTTCTCAGACACACACTTTTACATGCACTCAAGGGAGAGAGTCGAGCTGTCTATGAAACAGAGGTACCTTAGAACTTGGACCTTGTGACAGTGAAACGGCTCACAACAGGGCCTTCCTCACGGGAGGGTCTGACGAGGAGTCCTGTGTCCATCCTTCACAACTGCCCTCCGCCCAGGCAGGAGTCTGGTTGAAGCACCTCAGACTCTCAGCCATGACCCATTCAGAATCTGCCTTTCTCCTCGAATCCTGGAATTCTCCTGTTGTGTTTCACAGAGAAAAGCCATGCTTATCCAAGAGCACCCAGGGTGCTGAGGGCAACGGTGCCCACACCACCCTCTCCTCCTTTAGATTCTTCAGACTTTCTGAGTTCAGGTTTGTCTGCGCACACACACACACACACATACACACACACACAGGCACATACACAGGCACACACACACAGGCACACACAGGCACACACACAGGCACACACACACAGAAGCACAGAGGCACAGGCACACACACCTAGGCACACACACATAGGCGCACACACACACAGGCACAGGCACACAGGCACACACCCACACACAGGCACACAGATATGCTGTGCTCCAGGTCCCTCGAGGTCACACAGGCCAGCAGGCAGTGGCAGGCCCCTTTCCTCCATCTCTCCAAGGACTCTGTCAGCCTGCTCTGCTCCTCACTGAGGGCGCCATGATGACCTGTGGCCAGGTCATTCCCTCCTGCAGGTGGAATCCCTCAACCTGCACCATCTTTTGGCGGTTGCCCTGTGGAATGAAGGGTCGTGCAGCTGCCCCCCCGGGGCTTTTTCTCTTGCTTTCTGATACCTGTCACATAAACGTGTCCCACCTCCTCTACCGTTTTCCTGGAGGACAACGTGGGGGCAGTTTTCAGTGTGGGTTTTCTGAATGAAGCAGAAGTGAGGACCATGTCCAAGCTTTTTGGTAAAGATATGCTCTCGTTTCTCTCGGGTTGTATTAATTTTCTATCATTGTTTAAGAAATTAGCACAAAGTTCATGGTGAGAGTCAGGCCCAGGGCCCACTGGGCAGCGTCCTCTGCTCAGTTCTAAAAGGCACAACCCAGGGGCCACCAGGCTGGGCTCCTTTCTGGGGCTCAGTGGTGTCTGCTGAGATGGGGTGGTGGTGGCAGACCTCAGTCCCTCGCAGTGTAAGGTGTCCCCATTTCAGGGTGCTCAGCTCAGCCAGGTCACCCTGTGGCTGCTTGCTCTTCTAGCAGGCAGGAGGGTCTCTCCTCGGGGACTAGGAGGGAGTCTTATGGAACACAGTGCAAGCAGGGATAGCAGTCGAAGGCCAAAACACAGAATAAGTTATATTTTATCTATAATTAACCACACAGACAAACAATAAAAAACCCCAAACTAAAATTTAAATGGCAATATTATAGTACCCTCAAAACGTTAAGTAGGAAAAAATATAATGAAAAATGAAATGTGCTACACACAAATTCATATAATATCACTGAGAAAGAGTAAGAGGTAAAACATGGAGAGCTATACCATGTTCATGGACTACAGACTTAAATAATCCCAGTCAACAACACTACAGCTTTTCTTTTCTGGTAAAAGTAGATAAGATAATCCTAAATTATTCATGGAAATTCAAAGATCCAGGAAGGCTAAGTCAATCTTGAACAAGCAGTACCAGGGAATGAAATCTACCCCATGATGCTTTGTCCATGTGTACATATACCACAATAGAGAGGGAATTTCAATGTACAGATGTTAGAAAATTATAATTCAAGAGAGAACAATAGAGTAAGTAGATCAAGGGGACTGGGGGAGGGAGGAGTACAGGGAAGGGGAGCCACTAGACAATCAGTCAATCAAAACTGTACTATGTGCACGTGCAAATAGGTCACGAGGAATCCTGCTACCATGTGTGATTACCATGCACCAACAGAACCACACACAAGAGAGGCCTTGCTCTCCTGGGCACAGCTGCGTGAAGACGGTTTTTGGCCCAGGGTGGCGTTAATTAGCACAGGGACAAATGGGCCACGGGGACAGAAGTGTGGAAACAGACGCAGGAAACCTATCGCCATCTGAGCGCGGAATCAGGAACACAGCCTAGTCATTTGTCTATGGAAGGGAGAGTGCAGAACCCGCCCTTGCTCAAGTCACATCCTCAACATACTTGTGGTGTACTACATATCTACAGCTAAAGGATACGTCAATAAGACCTTCAGAACACAGCACAGGAGAACACCTCCGTATACCTGGGATAGACGAGTGTCTTTGATGCCGACAGGTTATCCGTCATGATTGTAAAGATCATGTCACCTGCAGTATGATTAGATTTATTTATATGTCTACAAATGTATTGGAAAACTATCTCTAGCTGTAAATATTAGGGACCTGTAATCAGAGGCTGATGGGTTAGATAGCACTGCAGGCCCACCACGGAGGCTACAACTGAGATAGCCGTCCACCCTGAGGCACAGCAGGCACCTAGGGCACAGGCACAGCTGGGGTGAGTCTGGAACTGCGGTTCTGGACACCTGGCCTCGCTGGCCACCCTGAGGCAGTCCACTCCAGGTGGGTGGCTGTCTCAGGGTCAGGAGTCCCTGTGGCTAACATCACCCAAGCTTCCCACTGCAGGTCATCTACTTAAAATGTGCCTGGGAGAGAAACGGAAGTGAGCAGAAGGCCCGGGTGAGAGGCTGAGATCGACCTGCCCAAGAGCTGGGAAGAATGATCTGCTCCTCAGGTTCTTCCTGGTTCGAGGCCAGGCTTGGTGTCCAGGGGCTTGGTGTCCAAGTCTGTCCTCTGCAAGGTCTGCCTGCTGTGTAGCCACGGGACTTGCTGGTGAGGTGGGAAACTTGAGTTCCTAACAGCAGCACACAGACCTGCTGGACTTCAAGGGCTTGCTGGATAGTGAGGAGCAGAGGCCACAGTGAGGTCACCTGCAAGAGGATTTTACTGGGAATACCTGTAGGAGAGAAGATAAGCCAGGGAGAATTGTCAGACAGACGGAGGACAGAGAGAGAGGAGGCCAGGTGGACATGCCCCAGACTCAGGTCTAGTCTGAGGAACTTGGCAATGCTGCAGGAGGCCTAAAGCCAGGTAGCTGGCAGCCCATGCCGTCCACCCCACTGGCAGGGGCAGTCTGGGAGGCACTCAGGGGAAGGACAGCCTCCCCACACACAGGACGGTGGGTTTCAGACAGCAGTGGGGGCTGCGGCCAAGCTGGAGTTGGGAAGCACAGGCTCTGTCTGCATGGGACATCAAAACTTGCACCCAGCTCACCAGGAGCAAACACAGGAACATGTTCCCAGCAGCCTTATGTATACAGTTTCGACGAGAACAAAGTAAATGTCAATCAACAGCAGGTTGGATCAAGAAATGGTGGCGTCTCCCTCGCGAGGGGTCGCCCCAGGGCTATGGCACCCTGTTTGTTGATGGGGGAGGCGGACACGGGGGCTGTGTGTGCAGCTCTCCCAGATGCAGTCTTAGCAGTGGGAGTGAGCCCCTGCAGGGAGGGTCGGACACGGTGCAGAGCAGCAGTGCCCCCTGGGCGTGGCTGATCCTGCTCTGGCTGACTCCTACCTGGCTTCAGTTCACAAGGGACGGCTGGCCCGCGCGGGGATGCGTTTTTCAGCATTTGACACTGGTGGCTCCTATGCAGAAGCAAATCCTTGGCGGGTGCACAGTTCCTGCGTGTTAACGCGATTTCTCCTACCAGGCACACAGGGCTGCAAAGAACCGGGGCTCCTAGTGTTTGTTCTCAGGTTGGGTTGGGAGCATGAAGGGTATTGTAACTTGTGGAGTGTTACTAACTGAACCCAGGCCTGAGCTGACTGGGGCGCTTGGGGATCCAACAGCCGGTTGATTGCTGGACTTGCTGTTTTGATATCAGTTCAAAGTCTGAAGTCCTATTTGAACAATGAGGGAGATCGGTGTTGAAATGGTGTCTGGCAGAACACTGACTGAGGCTCTTAAAAGTGGGTCCAAGGTCCACACAGCCTGGCCTCTTTTCCCAAGCTGTGCAGCCCGGTCCTCTGAGAGTCATTCATTGTGAGGGCATGCCCTTTGGGTCACACTGCGTGGGAACACACAGGTTGGAGGCGGCTGCACCAGGCCCAGCTCCCATGGGCAGCCAGGCTCCCCTCAGGCTGATTCAGCCCCACATGACTGTGAGGGCCTCAGGCAGGGCTCCCGGCCTGCGGCTGACTCACAGTCCGTCGCGCCACCCCCTGACCTCAGTGTGACTCATGCTCAGGACCCGGGCTCCTTCCAAGCCCTCCGAGCCTTCGGCCTGCACTGCGTCTGATTGCCGAGCTCCTCTGGGTTTGCTGGTCCAGATCCTTCTTGGTGAGAGGAGAGAGAAACACCCGGAATCCGTCTTTTAAGGGACTCCAGTTGGCTCACACTAAACCTCTCAGAAATATTTCATAAAGCAGCCCAAATTCTCTGACTTTTCTCCCAGAAAACACGTTGTGCATCCGACAGTTGTTTCTCATTATGGTGAGGGAACATGAGAACAGTCATTTTACTTAAGGTGCACAGTGTGATCAGATATCCTTACGGTATTCACGTGCACTGCGCCTGCTGAGGCCCGGCAAGACTCCATCACACACCCTGGGGGCATGCGTGAGCATGCGTGTGTCCGTGTGGGAGCCTGTGCACGTGTACACTGCGTGGGGTGTGTGGGGGGGTGTGGCGCTCCTGTGACCTACTCTCCTGACTAGTCACAGTGCAGGGGCCGTGGTGGGCATGGGCTCTGGGTGAGAGGACCACGAGGCAGCAGGACGTGGGTCTGGAGACGCTCAGCACACACCAGGCCACACCCTTCCTCAGGGTTTCAGAGGCCCCAGGAGCCACTCAGAAAGCAGGGCCAACCTGGTGACCAGAGCAGCAAGTGCTGCCTTCCTGCTCCTGGGGCCACGACAGAGGTGGACGTGCCTCGGCCTCCGAGAGGCAGCAAGGGCAGCAGCAGCCTCCACTGAGGGAGCCCATCCACTGGCAAAGGCAAGAGTCATTTTACAATGACAATGTGGTGTCCGGGACGTAATGGAAAGCACCACTGTGAGCAGGCTCCTCGGCAGTCGTTTTCAATGGCGCTCGTTTCTCAGTTCAGACTTGTAGGGACAGACGAATGGAGCCCTGGAGAGCAGCCCGTGGGGAGGAATCGTGCTCTCTCTGAGAGACAAAGAAAACTAAGAAACCCTAAGTTTTAGTATGAATTTAACTTGGGTCTATTTGTTCAAATCCAGTAGGAAGAACTTCGTACAAGACCCTGAAAGACAGAGTTGGTCTATCCTAAGGGCATAGTTCTGATGGCACTAAATGATCAGCTGTTATACTAGAGTTTAGTCAGAACTTTAAAATGGAAACATCATTGAGCTCCCCTGCGTCTGGGGAGGTGTGCGTGCAGAAGCACCCTGTTCACAGAGGGTGTGCTCACACACGGCTACCGTCCCCCAGGCCAGCCTGCTCTTCAAGCCTGGCAACGTCCAAGCAGCACTGAACCAGGTGCCCTGACCGCCCACCAGAGGCGAGGTCCGTCCTCCTCACCTGTCACCCCCTTGGCACATGAGCAGGTAAATGCAACATTACAGAAGGCGGTCTTGAGCCCTCCCACAGATGCCCAGCACTAGACCCATGGTCTGAGATGGTGGAAGTGGTGATGAAACAAGCAGTACCTGGAGCTTTGGTCATCTCCTTCCTGACTCGTCCTAGACACAGACGGAGCACCAGCACCGAGAGCCGTGGCTGTCCTGGAGACGCCCCAGGTAGGCGGACCTCAGCCTGCAGGCAGCTCATGTGCAGCCCAGTGTGCAGAAGCACAGCTCTGATGAAGGGACTCACTCTTAGACCTGCCCGGGCTGAGGTGGCCCAAGAGACCCTGGAAACTCAGCGTGGAGCTTGGGAGACAAAATCCACATGGAATGGCCAAGGCTGAACAAGAAAAGCCCTGGAGGTATTACGTCTTAAAGCCCATCAGTCAGACAGTGAGAGAGCCAGGACCTCCAACCTCCCAGGAAGGAGTACGGCTCCCGCCTCTGAGCCGGCCTTAGGTGCCCGGGCTCTTACAAATGAGGCTTCAGACAGTGACCATTCCCTGATTCAAATAATGGAGCCATGATCTGGAAGTGGGAAAGGGGAAGGAGGCTGGGAAATCGAGGGCAGGGATGGGCTAAAGGTCACTGAGTAAAACATTCTGCATGGAGGGGAACCGCAAGCTTCATGGAGTATTATTTTTTTTAAGATTGCGAATTCATCCAAGGATAAAGATGCTTTAAAAAGAAATAAATTTTTCCCAAAATATGAGTTTTCTTTTCCAAAAATATGATCAAATATTCTTTGAAGTCAGCCTGCAAAATCAATAACATCATTAAATAATGTGAGTCATTTCATATTCTTCATCTAAACAGCAGGGAAACCCTTGGAGTTTCAGTGTGGGGTGGGTGATCAAGATGTTGCTATAGATATTATAAGAGTAAATGGCAACAATTTTAAAAAGCAAAAGAAAGTGCTTTAAAAAGATTTTCCTGCCAAACTTTGAACAATGTGCTCCAAGTTAAATCCGTAACAATGCCCGCTTTTCCTTCTTCTTGCTCACTACTCTCTTCTCATGTTGTCAACCATTGCCATCTCATTTCAGGTCTGCAAGGAGGCTCTGGCCTGGCCTCCGGGTTCCCATTGGCGAGTCTGGGCTTAAAGACCATGAAGTACTAAGTAGTCCTTCAAATTCATAAATAAATGATCCCAAGTGATTTCATACTTTTTAAACAATAAAAGTGACCAAAGATTTTGGGTTAACACATAGCACAAAAACACCTCAAATTAAGCTTGTAAGTTAATCTCATGCGATGTGTCTAATCACGTCATGTAACATTCATGAAAAATTCAGGATTATGAGAAATGATTTGTCTTGGAAAATACACACTATTTAACTTACATCCTGTTTGTGTCTGTCAGGCTCCTGTAGGGAACAGACGCCAAATTGGAATTAAAAGCTGGACTTTAAGGACGGACTTAGACCAGTACTTGTGAAAAGGTTCGGCAACAGAGGCGGGAGTAGGCAGGAGCCTTGGACTGAGCGCAGGCAGGGCCAGCACTGAGGCGGGCGGGCGGGGGTGGTGGGGCAGAGGCTGCATCCCTGAGAAGGGTCTGCTCCCTCTGCCATGCTAGAGGGTGGGCAGACTGCCAGAGACACCCTGCAGGGACAGCTCAATGCCCAGCGCAGGCCTCCCCTGGGACTTGCACTTCTAACTGCTGCCCAGTCTCCTCCTGGCTGCCTGCACCGCCCGGGTCCAAGTCAGATGGCAAGACATTTCTTCCCTTATCTCTGGAAGTGAAGGAGGTTTGTGAACCAAGGCTGCAGCTCCCAAGAGGAACTTCTGAGTCGATGGTCAAGGCTCTGACGGAGGGAAGCGAGGTCCCGGGGCTCAGTGAACTCTGAGCCGGCAGAGCAGCTGTGTTACCAGGGAAGGTTTTCTTGTTCATTTTGCACAAATTAACAAATTCCAGGATTGCCACATTTTATCCACTGTCTGCCTGAGAGATTTAATTCCACTAAAGATGGAATTATTTTAAATTTTACGCTTCAATACATTTAAGGGAATATAAACTATAAGAAAAGTGAGGTCTTTTCTCCCTTAGGAATCTGAAGTTGAAATTCAGGATTCAGCTACTGAGTGTCAATCAAGCCCCTTTGGATGACTTTAATCCCGATAAATGCTCTCCACAATCCAAGACCTCTAACCCCAACTAAAAACACACGTGTTTCCAGACACCAAAAAACCCCCTTACAGCCCGGTCTTTACACAGCTCAGCAGCTTGCTGTTCAGCTTTGAGACAGAGCACGACCAATCTGGTGGGGCTGTTTCAGCCTGCTGTCCGGCAGGGCCGTGGGATGGGCATTTACTTTCTTTCAAACACTTCTTTCAGAAAACCACCATAGAGCTTCTGTGTCCAGCTGTGCTGATGGATTTTAAAAAGCTGCTGTGTTCCTACAGGAAAGAGTTGCATTTTAAAGAAATGATCTATTTTAAAACTCATCCTCAAATGTATATATTGAACACAGAATCAAGAGCAAAGCATTTAAAAAAGAGAGAATGAGGGAGAATTTTTCCATCATCTATCATCCTCTCTTGTTCAAGAGGAAATCTGTCCAGCACTCAAAGCCTCGAGTGGCTGGCAGGCACCATGGAGCCAGAACGGGCCCCCGGGCACGCAGCTGCAGGGTTCCCGTGGATACAGCCCCGTTGTGCGTCAGTTTGGAAGAAATGTGATAAGAATTTTCCACGGTAGAAACCAGCAGACCTAAAGGACTGTAGGACAATACTGGTCTTGAGAGGAGACTGGAGAGATCTGTTCCAACATAGAAACAGGCAGAGAGCTGGGGAGTCCTTGGTGGAGAAGCACCGGGGGGCGAGGGTGATGGAAACTCAAAAGAAGATGTAAAAGGGGGTTTATGACAAAACCTTGGCACATCCATTGTCGACCTCGTGATACGTGAGGAATCAAATTGGAAAGAAGTAGGGACAGTACCCTAAGTTAGGTGGAAAAATCAATCCAGAACACATACCAATATTTACCAGGTTAGAAATGGAAAGAACAGGGGAGTGGCATCGTGAGACAGAGCGGGGGTCCCACGTCCCTCGTCCCACGCCCACAACCTGCCCACCCCTGCAATGAGCAGCAGCTAGACTCCCTGCAGGAGGGAAAGGCTGTGGAGAGTGCAGGAGTCCCTGTGGGGACCAGCAACAGGAGCAAGAAGGAGGACCAGTGTGCAGAGGGAGGAAGGTGGTTTGACGTTGCCTGGGTCCTTCCACCCCAGGCAGGGACAGCTCACACGGAC